CTCCGTTTGATTTATGCATGTGGCTGCAGGGGCATTATCATCTGCATATCCAGAGGAGACACCTGTGCTGCAGGAGACAGAGTTAGCAGCTCAGAGCGGGGACCCTGCTGCAGCAGATACGCCTCTGCTGCAGCACACGGGAGAGGAGCCGCCGCCGCCACAGCAGCAGCAGCCGCAGCAGAAACAGAAGCAGAAGCAGAAGCAGAAGGAGAAGCAGAAGCACAAGCATTGGCCGAAGTGGGGGAAGCAGCAGCACACGTGAAGAGACAGCAGCCAGCAGCAGCAACTCAGATGTTGCTGTCCCCTCTACGCCTCGTAAGAAGAGAGAGCGACGCCTTGAAGGGGCTCTCAATACTTTACACAGTAAGTTTATTTGTCTGTCTCCTCTCTCTCTCTCTCTGTCTCTGTCTGTCTCCTCTCTCTCTCTCTGTCTCTGTCTGTCTCCTCTCTCTCTCTTTGTTTCCTTTATCTCTCACCGTCTCCGTTCTATTTGTCTTTTTTAGCTCTGTCTCCTTCTTCTGCTCTCTCTCTCTCTCGCAAAGACAGATTCTCAGCCATGCACTGGCTGTCTGCGCATCTGCTGCTGCCGTCTCTTGCTGCTGCTGTCTCGTGCTGCAGCACAGCTGCAGAAGCAAAAAGAGTCCCCCTACAAACCCAAAAAGCTATGGCAATTCCTTGCGGGAACCGTCTCCGTTCTATTTGTCTTTTTTAGCTCTGTCTCCTTCTTCTGCTCTCTCTCTCTCTCGCAAAGACAGATTCTCAGCCATGCACTGGCTGTCTGCGCATCTGCTGCTGCCGTCTCTTGCTGCTGCTGTCTCGTGCTGCAGCACAGCTGCAGAAGCAAAAAGAGTCCCCCTACAAACCCAAAAAGCTATCGCGATTCCTAGCGGGAAGGATGATTGATGATGTGCTGGAGCTAGAAGCAGACGTTGCAGGAACGGGAGACATGAGCACCCTAAGTGGTCCGTTGCTTGTCTGCTGCTGCTGCTGCTGGTGCTGCTGCTGCTGCTGCTAACCCCGTTGTTGCTGCTGCTTCTCCTACTGCGGCGAACGCTGCTGCTGCTACTGCTGCCACTAAAGCCGCTGCTGCTGCTGCTACTACCAGTGCTATTCCTTTTGCTGCTGCTTCTGCTGCTCCTCCTCCTACTGCATTTGCTGCTGCTGCTGCTGCTTCTGTCTGTATTCAGAGATAACAGGAACAAAGCTACCCCTGGACCCTCGCGCTGCCCTTGAAATTCTGCAGATGGGAGGTGAGGAGACACCCGAGAGGAGACAGCACTCTCTCTTTAATATTCCGCTCCGTGCTGCTGATGCTGCTGCTGCCTCTGTTGCTGCCTCTGCTGCTACCATCTTCATCCTTGTTGTTGCTAGTGTTGTTGTTGCTGCTGCTCGCCTGTTTGTTGCTGCTGCTTATGCAATTGTTGTTGCTGCTGCTGATGCCTCTGTACTGTTGTTGCTGCTGTTGCTGCTGCTGCTGCTGCTGCTGAGAGCGGTGCTTCTGCTGCTTTCGTGCTTGTGTTGTTCTTCAGGCCTTGTGCATGTGCCTTCTCCTGGTGTGGCGCATACTATTTTGTTGCTGACTGACAGTATGCGACCCCAGCTGCGGCAGCTGCAGCAGCATCAGCAGCAGGAGCGGCAGTACACCTTTTGGTGGACGCAGCTGAACAGGCCTGATTATCGCAGCTCCGTGCGTCTGCAGCAGAGAACTAGACAAATTCTGCGAGTCGGCAGGAGCAAACGCGAAGAAGATGACTCAGCCAGAAAGATATGGGATCTAAAGCCTACCCCACCATCAGGTAATCAAACAGCAGCAGCAGCAGCAGCAGCAACAGCAACAGCAGCAGCGGGGTGCTTGGAGCTGTTCATTAACGGGGTTGGGGAGCCCGGAAAGAAGTAGTTGCAAGCATTGTTTCACGAGGGCGATGCCTCTAGTTATGTAGCTAGCTATGTAGCTAGCTGTGGCTAGCTGTGTAGCTAGCTGGAGCTAGTTAGATAGCCAGCTACCCAACTATCTACCTACTTAGCTAGCTGGGCAAAACTATCTGTGCAAATAGCTGGTTAGCTAGCTGTGTAGCTAGCTGTAGCTAGCTGTTGCTGTCTTATACTGATCGTTGTACCTGCAGAGACAGCGGAGAAGGACTTGCTAACGAGGTTGCTGCAGTTTGATGCTGCAGCACATAGCTTGCTAGAGACTGTGTTGTTGAGTCTCTTCGGCCTCTGCAAACCTTTCTTCTTGCTGAAAAAAGGAGAAGCATTTGATTGCCCTTATCTTAAAAATTCTAGTATCCTAGACAAAATGCCTTTCTTAACTCTTCCTGAGGTGAGCACGCGCAAACAAAACCCAAACAGCACCTTTCGGGTGTATGCGCAGCTCAACCCCATATATACATCTATATGCATGTATATATATATATGCATATATATAGATATGTGTCTACATATATATATATATATATATTTATATATATGTATACACGTATATATGCATGTATATATATAT